GTTGTCTCTGCTCCACCCCCAGAACTCCAGCCACCCTTCCACCTCCGGGAAGTGCAGGTCACCATCCTGAACAACTCCAGGTGTAACGATCTGTACACCACCCTAAGCCTCGATATAATCCAAAGCGACATGATCTGCGCGGGTGCTGAGGACGGCAGCGTGGACAGCTGCAAAGTAAGTGATCCTCCCCACCCGGGAGCCGGCCCTGCCCCTCACCCCTGCCCCTCACCCCTACCCCTCACCCCTGCCCCTCACCCCTGCCCCTCACCCCTCCCCCTCACCCCTGCCCCTCACCCCTGCCCCTCACCCCTGCCCCTCACCCCTGCCCCTCCCCAGGGTGACTCCGGAGGACCCTTGGTCTGTGAGGAGAACGGGCGGTGGTATCAGGTCGGCGTGGTAAGCTGGGGCCAGGGCTGCGGTCGGCCCAGGAAGCCTGGTGTCTACACCAACGTCAGTCAGCACTTCGACTGGATCCAGACCGTGATCCCCAGCAGCGCGCCCAGGCCGGAGCCCTGGCTGTCACACCTGCTGCTCCTCACTCTTCCCTGGGCTCCCTGCTCCAGGGCCCAGCCTGAGCCCTCCAACCCAGTGCAGGTCTGGATCTGGTGCTGCTACACCCCCCAGGCCCAGATCTGCCCAGTGTGGAGGGGAGTGTGCTCTGTTTTCCTCTTGTTAATAAATGCCATGCACATGAGCATGTAAGCTGATGCTTCCAGAAGCTTCATCAACTCTCCATTGACTTCTTGAAGACCACCCCGGGTTCACACTAAACCTCCTCCTAGCAGCTCCTAATCCTGGCCCTGGTTTTGATTCAAACACCAGAGTCCTTCCCAAGGAGAGGTCATTTCCAGAAGAAAGGCTGTCTTTGGGCTGTCTGGGGCCTTGGAAGACCAGACTGGGGAGATTCGACATCCCCTTGATGGTCATGGTCAGCTTGAATAATACATTTCAGCCTGAGCTCCCAATATGGGCACAGATTCATTCCCTGCCCTGTGAGATAAACCTCACCCCCTAATCCCCCCACTCCTGAAGACAGATCGCTACTCTGACATGGCCATGGCCAGAGCTATGAGGACCAGGCAGAGAGGACGTGTGATGGGCAGCCAGCACTAGAAGGGGACCCGAGAGGGGACGCACTGGCCCAGCCCGCCATCTCTCAGCCCACCCCACCCCACCCCACACAGGGGATTGCTCTGTTGTGGCCACCCCAAGCCAAAATGTGTATATTTCCCAAGATGGAGGCTGTTTCTGCTCATGCTCAGGCAGGAAGGGCTTCCCGGTTTGAGCCACTCACTTCTGGTCTAGCTCTGGGGGCTCTGGGTGGGCTCGGCGGGGCCAGGCCTGAGGTCTGAGGCCACGATCTAGGGTGTGGAGGTGCGTAGGAGGCTGGCTGGGCTGGGCTGAGCTGGGATTACCAGACTGAACAATAGAGCTCAGAACCCCAGTGCCCGCGCTGGGGACCAGGAAGCAGGCTCAGGTTGAGAGATGACCTGCCCAGGGTCCTCCGGAGATCCCTGCCTGCCGCGGCCTCCCCTCCCTGCCCTGATCCTGGTGTCCTTTTCCTGCCTCTGCCAAAGTACTGCTCAAAGCATCTTTGTTTGAGGCTGCTTAGGGGAAGCCACAGGCCCGCCTCGAAGTGTTAGTTTTCCCCAGGCGGGGCCTCCACCCCTCTGTCCTTTAAGCCCCCAGGTCCTCCCCTGGCCCCCAGTCAGCCAAGAGGGCGCGGGCCGTGTGGGTGAGAGCAGGTTCAGGGCTCACCAGGGGGGGAGGACAGGGCAGTGGCCGGGGAATGGACGGGAGGATGAGATTCTAGAACAATTGTCAGACACACCTGCCACAGATGCCCGCCTGGGCCTGGGCTGGGTGAGGGTGTCAGTCTGGGTGACAGAGACCAAGCCAGAACCAAGCAGATGCCGCTGAGGGCAGAGGGAAGAGCCGCAGAGGCGAGAGTGGGGTGGGGTGTCCCCAGGGCTGGGACGTTCTTCTCTGTTCCCTACCGACTTCAGACCAGCGTCCAAGCCCTGAGCAGTGCGACCTCTACCCAGACCAGCCCTGAAGATAGGATGAGGGGGGTTCCCCGCCTCTGGGTCCTGCTCCTGCTGGTGCTGGGTTAGTGGGGCTGGGGGGGGCTGGGCCTTGCAGCTGAGCACCCCCGCCCATCCTTTTATCATTTTGAGTTGGCCCTGGGGCTTGAACATAGGCTCTGTCCCTGAGCTTTTTCAGTCATGGTTAGCACTCTACCACTTAGGCCGTAGCTCCCCTTGCAGCTTTTTACTGGTTCAATGGAGATCCGAATCTCAGGGACTTTCCTTCCCGGGCTGGCTTTGAATCTTGCCCCTTAGATCTCAGCCCCGAGTAGCTAGGAATCACAAGGCGTGAGCCACCAGTGCCCAGCCCCAGCTGGTTTAATTCAAAGGGCCAAGTCCTCTCTGACATCCTGCATGAATCCTGCATAAAGCCTAAGTCCCACCCTACTCTGCAGCTTAAATCAGGTGACAGAGTGCCCAGAAGCCGCTGCCACATGCCCCATCTGCGCCACCTCTGCCCCGGCTTGTTACCTGACACCCAACCTCTAATCCAGTTCCTCCTCCTCTTCCTCCTGCAGAGACTGCTGGGGTGCAGGCATCCGCAGGTAAGCCCCCCTCAGAGCCTGCACCCCCTGAACCCCGAACCTGTCTCCTCAACCCCCACTTCCCAGGCCCTGTCCCTGCTCCACACCCACTGTCTCTCTGTTCTCTCGAAGCCTGCGGGCAGCCCCAAGTGTCCAGTCGCATCGTGGGGGGCCGGGATGCCCACAATGGAGAGTGGCCGTGGCAGGCCAGCATCCAGCACCGCGGGGTCCACGTGTGTGGGGGGTCACTCATTGCACCCCAGTGGGTGCTGACCGCGGCGCACTGCTTCCCCAGGTCAGCCCCCCACCCCCGAGCCCGAGGAAGAGCCGGGGGGAGGCCTGAGCGGTGAGGGCTCCCGGGGGCCTGGCCCTTCTTCCCCCTCCACAGAGCGGCCCCAACTCCTTTCTCAGATGGGTGCTGCCATCCGAGTACCACGTGCGCCTCGGGGCCCTGCGGCTGGGCCTCGCGTCCCCCCACGCCGTCTCGGCACCCGTGCGCCGCGTGCTGCTGCCCCCAGACTTCTCGGAGGACGAGGCCCGAGGAGACCTGGCGCTGGTGCAGCTCGGCCGCCCGGTGCCCCTGAGCGCCCAGGTCCAGCCTGTGTGCCTGCCCCCGCCCGGCTCCCGGCCCCCTCATGCGGCAGCGTGCTGGGTCACAGGCTGGGGCAGCCTCCAGCCCGGAGGTGAGACACAAGGGGGAGGGCAATGGGAGGCCCAGCCTCCTCCATCTGACTGGGGATCCACCTTCGCAGCCTCCCAGAGTCACTTTTTTTTGTGGTTGGTCATGTTGCCTGAACTCTGGGCCTGGGCGCTGTCCCTCAGCTCTTCAGCTCAAGGCGAGCGCTCTACCACTTGAACCACAGCGCCACTTCCGGTTTTCTGGTGGTTCATTGGAGATGAGAGTCTCACGGACTTTACTTGCCCGGGCTGGCTTTGAACCATGATCCTCAGATCTCAACTTCCTGAGTAGCTAGGATGACAGGCGTGTGCCACTGGTGCCCAGCCCAGAGTCACTTCTGAGACCCCCAGTCTGCTCACAGTGGGCCCTCGGAGGCCTCTGCCTGGCAGAGGGGCTGCAGGCCTTGTGCCCTCCTGACTCTCTCCCTCTCCCAGTTCCGCTCCCAGACTGGCGCCCTCTGCAGGGAGCGCGGGTGCCACTGCTGGACTCCAAGGCCTGTGACCGGCTCTACCACGTGGGCACTGACGTGCCTCGGGCTGAGCGCATAGTCCTGCCGGGCAACCTGTGTGCTGGCTACCTCCAGGGCCACAAGGATGCCTGCCAGGTGCGTGTCCCCTGTGTCCCCCGCCTCCTCTGACCTCCACATCCCCAGAACCCAGGACAGGAGATCAGATCTCCAGCCTGAATTCTGGGGGAGCTGCCTAGAAGATTATGGTGGGGGCGGGGGGCTGGTACTTCAGCTGGCCTTTCTCCTGCAGGGTGACTCCGGGGGACCCCTGGCCTGCGTGCAATCTGGACGCTGGGTCTTGGTGGGTGTGGTGAGCTGGGGCAAGGGTTGTGCCCTGCCCAACAGACCAGGCGTGTATACCAACGTGGCCAAGTACAGCCGGTGGATTCAGGCTCACCTCAGCCTGTGATGCATGTCGGCTGGGTGGAGGTCGGCTGCCTGGAGCAGTCACTTTGGTCCTCGGGCCCCCTGGCCTGTCTAGTCACATGCACATGCCCCAACCCTTCGGCCTAGAGGCTGACATACTCAGAAGCCACCCATCTGTCCATCCTCTGCCTCTGATCCTCTGAGGAGTCCACTGATCTCTGCCACCATCATTCACGCTCACACTTTCCCCCTTCCCTCCTGGTTCCTAGCTACCCTCCTCTGGCCTGGGATGGGGCCAGGGCACCCAGAGATGGGCAACCCAGCTGATGGTTCATCTGGGCGGCGTGCCCCTCACTTCCTGGAGGAAGTCAGAGTGGAAACAGGACGGGACTCAACACCAGGGAGTCTCCGTTGTTGGCTGCAGGGGCTGGTGGCTGCCCCAGCTGGCTGCATCCTCAGACTCATGATGACCAGAAAGCCAATTCTGCTAACATGTTGGGGCTTGGAGATAAATTCTTCCCCAACACCAGAAAAGAACCCAATTTCAGCCTGGAGAGATCTGCTGAGCCCCTTCCCCTGGCTTCTCATCCACTGAGTAGTGATTTAATAAATTTGTGTTGTTTTAAACTGCTACCTCTGTGGCAGGTTATTATACAGCCATAAAAGCTAATCTAGAGCCTGGTGTGGTGATACACGCCTGTAAACTCCGCATCTGGTAGGCTGAGGTAAGATGAGGGAATTCTAGGCTAGCCTGGGAACAATGTGAATCCCTGTCTCAAACAAACAAACAAACAAACTCCTCCAGAGTTTGCTCGGGTGAGGCTGGGCGTTCTGGGGGAGGAGTGCCCTTCGCCCTTTGGGGAGGCCTGGGCACACAGACCTCACCTGTCAGCTCTCAGGAGGCCCAGCCACAGCTCTTGCTGTCCGGCTGTTCATGGACACCATCTACTCCTAGGGGGAACCTAGAACCTGGACCCAGGCCCTCCCTCCCATCCTGTACCTCTTTCTGCTAAGGACCTGGAGTCCTCTCTCCAGGCAGATAAGGATCAGTTTCTTTGTTTTACAGTGTAGGTACTGGGGCTCTAACTCAGCCCTTAGGCACTGTCTGTAGCTTTTTTGCTCAAGGCTAGTGATCTATCTCCACTCTAGCTTTTTGGTAGTTAACTGGAGATAAGAATCTTAGAGACTGAGCTGGGAAGGTGGCTCAGTGGTAGAGTGGTTGCCTTGTATGCATGAGGCCCTGGATTCCATTCCTCAGTACCACAAAAGCAGAAAAAGCCAGAAGTGGCGCTGTGGCTCAAGTGGTGGAGCGGTAGCCTTGAGCTGAAAAGCTCAGGCCCTGAGTTCAGGCAGAAGAAGAATCATCTTAGAGACTTTTCTACTTGGGCTGGCTTTGAACTGCTATCCTCAGATCTCAGCCTACTGAGAAGCTAAGATTATAGGCATGAGCCACTGGGACCTAGTGATAAGAGTCACTGGAGCTACAGAAGGAGCAAGAAAGTGAACCAAACCTGGACAAGTCAAAGCTTATATTTTGGAGCTGATGGGTGAGCCAGGGAAAATAATGGAGGAACCTCAGAGGCACGGTTGCCCGGGCCCCACTCAGGCCGCTTGGGAAGGTCACTGCTGACTCAAGCCACTTTGTGTCAAGGCAGAGCTCAAGGCCGCTCCCTCTGCCTCCAGGCCGAGGGCAGTCCACTCTCCAGCACAGCTGGTCTATGCTGGGGGGGGGGTGGATCGGCAACCAGGGTGCCTTGGGCATGGCAGGCTGGCCTCCGGAGAGAACGTGGGCTTGTTGATGGCAGTTCCTACTGGTTAATGCTGCTCAGGGCCACATGGATCCTACATGACTTTCCTTCTGGAAGCCCTCCCCACCCCCCACAGGGATAGCACGGGAGATGAGATCAAGAGGAGAGCAGGCCAAAGGCCTGGGGCCTGCCATGACTCACATCCAGAAAGCCTATCATAAGAGGGCTGCTGAGACCTGAGCGCTGCAGGGGAGGATGGCCGTGAAGCCCTTGCTGCTCCTGGTTAGGCCCATTCTTAGTGGAAGCTACATGGTGGGGTGAGAAGAGACCCCCAAATCATAGCTGAGGCCAGTCACAGCTGTCAAGGTAGTAGACTAGGATTCATACTCAGCCGTCTGCTTCTAGGACCAGCCATGAGGAGAACCCCCTCTTTTCTCCACTACCTCCCACCCCAAGAGTGTGGTCTCCCACACTCTGGTGGTGCTGGCAAGC